ACCATCAAGACGCCTGCCATTTGATATAAATAAATAAAATGTATTTTTCTCATAGCAAAGAACTAGATTGTTTGTGATTCAGCAGGACGTTCCGTTTTGCTTCATGATACAGGTTGAAGCATTCAATTAATTGTGACGACGAAGTCTGAATTTCGATGCCAAGGTGCTTGAACACTTCGTTCTGCAACGGATTTTTGAAGAGATCCGCAATGCAAACGCAATGCAGATCAGGTAGAAAACTTCAAGGCTTTCCTCTAGCCGCAGCAAATTCACAGTACCCACTGGAATTCCAACATTCATGTCTGGTTGTTTACACAATATTGAGGTAGCATTATGCAGAAATCTCAATCTGCTCATCTTGCTACCAATCACGAACCATCATGAAACGTAATATTCTCTCCCCTAATTAGGATGGGTTCTAGACACTTATTTGACTGAAGTGGAGTATAAGCTTTCAACTGAAACAGTGGACGTTAAGACATCTGAAAAAACCAATCAAATAGCATTTTTAAAGCTAAATGTGAAATGAATTGGCATAGGAACCTGATGTTAGTCCTATCGACCATTTCTTCAACATCCAATGCAGCAGCTTCTGATTCACCCGCTTGTTCCTCAGCTTCATCGTCAATTAAGTCCCTCTTCTGAATCTGAGCACCTCGAGTAGGAGCAGGGGGCTTGGCGTCACCAAGTTTGTTCCACTCCTCTTCCATCGCTGTAACAATTGCTGATTTCTCGTCGGCCATCAGGACACGGAGGGTATTGCCCATGTAGAGATAGAGCACACCAGAGAGTTGAATACAAGCCTGTCGAACTTGAGCGTTAGTTGCTCCCAGACCGGTCTTGAGGGAAGCCACTGTCTGTTTTGGATTCAATCTACAATATAAATAAACACTACTATTTAGTGAGATTTAAATATTAGTAGCCGATGAGAGAAGATAAAAAATGTCAGTTGGTAATAATCTCCTTTAAATTCAGATTGCATGCACAACAACCCCACTAGTAAGCGAAACTTGACTATAAGATGGCTTTGAGTTCGACATGAGTGAACGCCAAGGGAACACATCTCTCTTTGGAATCCGAAAACAAAACAAAGCAAATCGAACTACTTAAGACGACTTCATGGTAGATAAAGCACAATTTGCCAGCGGATGTGAGGTTTCTCACAAACTTTCGCAATGAAAGCTGTTCTGCGAAATACGAAGCTAAGAGAAAGAGAAGTGCATAAAAAATGGATCTATGAATTTAAAAAAAAGTAAAATGAAAAGTCAAAGACAATGCGGAAAAAGAAATAAAACGGGCAGTCGTACGAAGCGCCATGAAGTTACGCAGACCACTGGATTAGAATTATTAAAACTTAAAGACAATGCATTCTCTTATATAAAAAAGTTTTATTGGCATGAACCTTAAGACAACAAGACACTTGCTTAGACGAATGGAGTTAATTTGTGCCAAATGAAAGTAAATAACCAGAACAAGCTCCACTCCTTCACCTTTGAAACTAGGTTCTACCATACACACACGGCCAATTTAATGTCCCTTACAAGACTTTCGAATTGCACACAGCTCTTTAAGCATTAAATGAAGTATAAGAAGCTTGGTGCCTGCCTGCCTGCCTGCCCAAATCGCACTCGGATAGGAATATTGAGTAGTAAGCACCTCCCCACTATTAATTGTGAATTGCAATTTGAACAGTAAGCGCACTCACTTGAATCCGAATTCCTTGATAGCGTTAGAAAGCCAATTGATGGCTTCAACTTGATTCTTGGGACTCTTTTGTTGAATCGCGGCACCGAGAACCTGACAACCGACAATGTCAAATGTCGTAGCTTCTGCTAACGCAGTGAGCGCCTGTTTCACAGCTTCTCCCACCTTCACATCACCAATCTTGTCAATTAGGTCGGGCAGTAGAAGTTCAACATGGATTTTGCTAACGGGTTTTCGTGCCTGCAAGATCTCTGTAATTGTCTCCACTCGCATCCGAAGCACTTGGAAGTTATTATCTTTTAGACCGGGTTTACGCATAATCAAACGGCAGACTAGTTGACAAGAGAGCTGGGAGGCGTCAGCTGATCGAATCTTCGATTGAGCTGTTTCCATGGCAGCTAGACGTTCCTTCCAAACAGAAGACGCGAGTTCGGTGAGTAGGCCTTCGCCAAAGAAACTATAAAGAAATGGGGAATAAGAGAAGAGTCAAAGGCAATTTATACAAAGCGCGTCCATCAGGTGAATTGAAAGGAAATATTCCAGACTGATTTTAATTAGGGGGAAGTATTCTGCGGCCTTCCTAATCAAATCTTAACTTGAACAAAGTTACTGCAACCGCACGGTTACAAAATGCCTTAAATTAATGGAACAGGCTAAATTAAGAATGTTTTCCTTTCTCAAAACAATTGCCAAAGAGAATAAAAATTATTCATCAGGAAAAAACGAGCATCCAATATTTTCTGCTTTTGTTTACACATTTCAATAACAATTACAAAGACTTAGCGTTTAACTTAGTTTTTGATAGGGAAACCTGAATTCTATTCCCCCCCCCCTCCCCCCTTTTTACAAGGAGTTATTACTCACTCTTATTGCAATTATTACACTGTTCGCCGTTTTTAGACAAACGAATTTCACGAAACTAGCATTTAACAATATGGGAGCCGAAGATTGACTAGGAAATGTACTCTTCGTTTACATAAGTGAACCTACACACCTCTTTGCAAACTAAACCTTAGATGATAATTACGATTGATTGTGTATCTGACGCATAAAAACGCAAAATCTGTCGATTCCCCCTATCGAAAGTAAAATTTGGCCTTCACATCAAGAATCGGATTCCACTCAGTCAATCCAAAACGCTTTTCAATTTCCTATTAAGTTCTAATAGCTCTACTTACACCGCCCCTCCTTTGCCATTTTACAATTGTAGAAGCTAAACTCTCCTTAATCCGATAATTATAACCAAACATTTCCAGCCGAAAACCCGCATTCCGCGTCAATTTTAGTCCGATTAACAGGCGTAGGTAGCAATCGAATTCCCACATTCAGACATAAAATGGGAGTAAGGAACCTACTCAGAGAGTTTAGCTTCAACAGCATCATCTCCCATAAGCGATTCCTTTGGAAGTTCATTTTCAGCAGGTAAAGCACCAGATTTGGATTTGGCCGGCGGTTTTGATGCGACAGTGCCTCCGACTGCTTGGCCCTCTTTCTTGACTCCACCGGGTTTGGCTCCGCCCTTAATACCGGTCTTTTGTGGTGGTGGTGGTGGTTTCGAAGTTTCGACAGCTGTCCCAGTCGCTGGGGCACCGGAAGCAACAGTACCGCTAGCACCACTTCCACCTGAAAAGAGGTGATAAATTTTTTTAATTGATTACACATTTAATGAAATAAGGGATAAGTGATGATTATCCCATTACCATGTAGTACAAAAGTTAGTTATAGAGCATTAACAACAATTTCCTGCAGATGAAGATAAGAAGAGAATAAGAATAGTTGACTTGGAAGCACTTCGCCAGTGGCTAACATTAGAGCAATCGAAGTGAGCAACAAAGCGTGGGTGTGAAGAATTGCAAAAGTGAGATGCGCGAATGCGTCATGCACTCGCGTTGCCAACTGGCAATGAAACACCAACAAGGATAGATCACTCTCCAGTGGTGAAAATGTTTGGCAAGCACGCGTGGAAAGACTCAGTAGACACATCTATGGAGGTCCGAATGGATAACGGCAGTCTCTTTCACAATAGCCAAATTGAGTTAATTGATGTACCTCGCTAGACAACTTAAATGGTCCTTATATCGGGAAGCCATTTATAGTTGAGACGGAATTAATGACCATCAAGGTGATTCGATTTTCATTTCAATTAACTCAAATACTGACCTAATGAGATTATTTTCTCGAATTATTTTCAACTAGATCCTGGTGAGAGAAATAAGAGAACTATTGATCGTCGCTTTGCAAGCGACTATAGATTAGAAAACGAGTGATAAGTGCTTTCAAACACTACTTAGAAAATATTAAAAAAATAATTTGAGAAAGAAATCACATAATTCTTCCAAAAAAGTAATTGACTAACAATAATAAATCGACATGACAAAAGATTTCAATCAACACAGCATGAAGTCAATTAAAAAGGCAACATTCTATTAATCACAAGCTAATGCAAAATGGGTAAGAAAATTACTGGAATTGAATATATGGGATATTTGTAAACAACTCGTCTATTCTCAAAAAACTGAAATTCTACAAAATCTCCCGCATCAGAAACCCTAAAAAGGGAGTGATTCAACCATAATCCAATCCATCCTATTGGTGAATCGCAGACGTAAAGTTAGAATAATCGGTTGAATTAGGACTTGTGAAAGGTGTGATTAATGCGATTAATTGTAAGCCTACGCTTTAGAAAACTCGACACAGCAAGTGCAAAATACGCTTAAATCTCCTTCAAAACCAAAAGGTCAAAACAACAAGAACGCTCTCAAAAAACCTCAAATCATGGTATTTAAGGCAAAGGGACGCCAATTATAAATAGATGTTTGCTTTCGAGAATTGAAGCAGTCGAATGTCACTTGCTCTACGATAAACGCTAAATTGAAGCGCTCTGTCAAACTGATACTTCAAAACCATTGTTTAATACTAAGTTTGAAAGATAGGAAAAGATAATTTTAATAAAACCCATTAGGACTTATCTACTTACCTTTCTTTTTCTCTTCCACTGCCTTTTCATAGAATTCTTTAATCCTTCCCATTCGTATGCTATCAACATCAGCCAAGAAGGGCGTAATATTCTTCTCTGTCACCACGTACATCGCTGTGCCCAGAGCTGCAAAACTCGCTTCACGCACCTCCCCAGTGGTATCTGAGGAGCACTTGATCAGAGGCCCTACGAAAGCCTTCAAGAGCTTCTTATTCAACGTCGCCACTGTCATGTTAGAGAAGGCTCGATTTAGGAACATACAGATCTCCGCCCGCACACTGGGGACTTTGTTGGAAGTAGCTGCAATGATGTCCTCTTGAACTGCATCGAGAGAGGTCTAAATTGGTGAAAAAATGATAGCAGTTTATGTAATCAATTATCTCTGGTGCTGTGTGAAACTGATAATGAAATCCGAGCAAACATGAATATCTAACAAGACAATTCATCTTAAAACTGTGAACATCTCGCATAGTTCCATATCACGTATTAGAAAAAAGGGGATATTCCAAGACCATAGTCTAAGCAACCTCCGGACATCAATCCATCTTCCCTCTCAAAAACTTGCACCTAGATGGATAACTAAAACATGCACTGTGAATACCAGCAAAAAATAATATGAATAAGCTCCGGTGGGCGATAAGAAAGCACATTTGTGGTTGAGAAAAGGTGCAAAGGAGATTAATTTTAAAAAAACAACACAATGGTAATCACGTGATACATTTTCCAAATTATTGTTAGAAGGGAAAAATACAAAACGAAAAATGCATATACCATGTTAGATAATAAAAAGAAAATCCAAGAAAAAAGCAACCCAATTCACAGTTAATAGAAAAAGAAACTGCTTCCTTAACAAAAACTTACAAATTGCGTAAAGCCACACAGCTGATGCTAATAATTCTCTAGCCCTAATTTATTAAGAGATTAGCACTCCATCCCGACGCGTGCTGGCCAACACCAGCCAACGTGGATGAACACCCACACCACAGAACGTCTACAGATGACCTTTGCTGCAGAAGACGCGAGGAAAAAAAAATCGAACCTAAAATCTCATAAGCCTGACAATAAGAGGCAACCAAATCACCTCACTAGCATAGAAGAAAAACATCCTGATGGCGCCATAATACCGCCCTTGGGATAGACCATCGATCTAGAACTCGACACCTAAGACTCGTTGATAAAACATCCATTCTGCGACTTTTGTCAGTATAAACTAAAATGACTGTTGAAAATCATTCCAATCACTAGAGTTTGATCTCAAAATTCATATGCAAGTCAGGGCAATTGTATATTAAAGTATTTAAGTAGAACTTACAGCTTTAAGTGCCGCATCTGCAGCGCTTCGAATAGCCGTCAGAATGGCCGGTTTCTTCTCCTTAAATTTGTCAATACAAGCCCGAATAGTATCTCCAGCATAGGGCTGGAAACCCTTTCTGAGACCACTAGCAATTTGGGCGACAATTTTCGCACTCTGGCCAACGAGAATAACATTTGTGTCCTTGCAGATAATCTTAATCAGAGCTTTCATTAATTCTCCATAATCACCGGGGGCCAATTTCATCACGTCCGAGAGATTTTCAACCAAGCTTAAGGCTTCTTTCCGCTCTTGCCACTTTTTAGCTTCCTAAACAGAATTATTTGATAAATTTGAGAACTATAACACTTACAATCTGTTCATAGAAATCATTCGGCAGTTTTGTGAGTATATTAACCGGATCGGCAAGATCATAAGGATCCAATTCTGGTTCATCATTGCCTTCAGAGACTCCCTCAACTAGAACTTGATCCCCTGGTGCGGAAGCATTATTATTATTTTGCTGCGGAAGATTTTTCGGTTTCTGGCTTTTGAGATACCGCGTAGGGAGAGGTTTCTGACCAGAGCATTTAGCGAACTCTGCTTCCAATTCATTCAACTGAACTGGTTTGAGGCTCGAGAGTTGAGTTTTAATTGGAGCACCAGCCCATCGATACATTTCCACTATCAATTCCTTGCTCTCATTACGCACTGTTTGATCACGATCTTCTAGTAACCGAAGAGTGTCTTTGAGGATTGATTTGATTGAAATGACCTTTGAACCGAAACCACTATCGAAGTAAAATAATAAACACATTTTTAACCTACGCTAGAGCCATCCGGAGAGTCTGAAGACAGCTGATCACTGTTTTTGGTTGTTTTGCAGAAAGGCCCTTGATTAATTCCTCAAGAACGATGTCGGTTCTCTCCAATTCTATGTAAAATAAAAGAATCTCGATGCCTTTTTCCTTCGTTTTTGCTCGAGCAGCATTAAGACATTTTAAGAGAATTCCTTCACAAACGTCAGCAGCAGCACTAAACGAATATGAGCACTGTTAGCTACTTACCGAGGAGCAACAGAAGCGTTTTCAACAAAAGCAAGTACAACATCGAGAGCTCTTTCTTGAGCAATAGCGTTGCTATCCGTCACCATCTTCTTAAGTAAACCAAGATAATCGTTGAAAACTGGACTCTTGTCTGACGTTTGAGTTTGAAATAACTTTATAGCTTCATCGTAACCGGCTACTCGTGCTTTCCATAACTAGGTAGAAAGTAAATTAAAAAATCAAACAAACTTTATTCTCGATTTTATCGATAGTCGACAATTTGAGCCATTCTGAGTCATCGCCCATTTCGATAACCAGGTATTAAAATGTTCAAATTTAGTAATAATAGGGAAAATCCAAGTGACTCGACTAATTTAAGGCTTTCAATTTTAATTGGTTGGGATTATGATTTTGAAAGCGTGACAAATTTACAACGCACTTAACATATTCACGATTGATATATTATTTAAAGGAACAAATTAGTATTTTTAAAATATATATTTCAAATATCATATTATGTTTACGTAATTCTGAAGATATATCATAAGACCTGGACCAACTTAATCAGGTTATTGTGTCCATTAAATGATGCTGTTGAAAGCCTCTGGAAGTTCTAATTACCAATGACCCATTAGCTGGCTTTGAAATATAAAATTGAGTTGCTTATTATTGAAGTTAAATTGCATGAATACTTATGCTGCATACCAATTATTTCTTAGCTTTCATGCTGAAGTACTCCAAAAGTGCATTCGGAACTAACATTAGATGATAAAAATTTAATATTGAATGCTAATTACTAGATAAACGTTATCGCTTTGCCGAAACTCTCTTTTTCCACTAAAGCAATATGTAAATATAATAAATAAAAATTATATTTAATTGACAATGCTCCTTACTTATCTTCTTCAAATAACTGACTTGGTTCGTCTGCTATCAAATTAATGCTATCATTTGCCATTTATTTTCGTGTCACAGTGCATTCATTTTATTTCTACCTTTAGAAATATAACATTAGCGGATGGGATTAAATCAGAAAATCTCACACGAAGCAAAAAATGTAAATTCGACCATTATCAACTTTTATGTGACTCCTATTTTTACGTAAAACCTTTATGGATTGTACCCATTTATTTTCTAGATCTACTGTGTCCAATTTTCACGTTTTAATTATCTGCAAAAGGCCAAAGAGCTTTCCAGAAATTTAAATTTAATTGACAGCTGAAAATTCAACAAAAGATTTGACATTGCGAAAAGTTAATCAATGTAAATAAATTTCATGTTAGTGAAAATCAAACTAAGTACTGGTAAACACGTAAAATGGGGGCACTGGATGTGACGATTGTTATTTTTACCACACTCTTACGTGATCCAACTTTTTGTAGACCTCGTCGAAAGGACTACATTGAGAAAATAAGTCAGATAATGACGTCCAATTTCTAAGAAATGTAATATCTTTCTAATTCTGAAAAATATTAAAATTCCAGGATGAATAAATTAAGTCAAGAAATATTCATCTGCAAAATATTGTTGCCCAGACTTCATAAGTGAAGCGTTCCCTGAGTTAATATTTTATTACATTATTAAAAAAACTAATCTTAACTCTTTTATAAAAAACGACTTCATGCTACATAATTTTACTTTTAAATCAAAACAAATGTTCATATGAAGCATGAATTGCAATAAGGACATGTTGGAAAACTAATTTTAATTTTTGTTTACTCCGTCTAATTCTAACTTGCTATTTGACCTTATGTCATTTAGTTAGTAGGCGCGATATTTGACAACTATTTTTTGGTCCGTGAATAGGTGGTTTGATTTATTTAAAATCACAAAAATACTTTATTTATTTTCTTTCTTTTGTCTCAAGTTTTGATTAGTTTTCATAAATTGTTATATCTTAATTGCTATTTGTTTATATTATTTAGAAATAAGAATGAATTCGACTAAAGAATCCATTGATTTGGATCCGGATATTTTTATTCAACAAACAAATGATAATGCGACTACCACAACGGACGCCTTTATATCGAGTAAATTTAAACATATCCTAGTTTATGTCAATTTACCAGCCCACGACTTGCCTTTTCTAGGAGAAGGCGATACTTTCACAATTGGCAATATTTTTCAACCTGGTGAGCGGGTGGAGGTTAAACTGCTTCGCACGCTCTATTCAATTGATCTCTCTTACGAGTCTATTAAGAATCAGACACTTGGAACACCAATTCGGTAATTGTAGTGTTCTTCCCTCCCACTTTATACAGCATAGTAGATACGAGATTGCTTTACACCATGGTGCCTATTTCTGGAGAATCTGCAGAACTCAAGATGAGTTGCGAAACTTTGATAGAGCTATTCGGGAAGCGTGGTTGAAAATTCGAGTCAAACAAATCAAGTATCTTCGTTTATTTCAATTTTCTTAATTTTAATTTTCAGACGCAAAGTTATAAGAACCAGACACTACCAACTACATGACCACAGACCAAAGATAGATAGAATAAAAAATGATGACGTATGATTATTTTTTTTAATTTACAAATGTTTTTTCCCATAGGAAAAAATTGAGGAGTATTTGTCTGCTGTGATTAATAAAATTGAAATTCAATGTCTTAATGTTGTCGTGAGTCTACTAGAATATGTATTTAACAAAATTCATTTTTAAGTTTTGACAAAAGACAAAATTTTAAAAGTATTTTTTAATAAATTCTCACTCTGTTGTAATTAAAACGGTAAGGATAAAAAATCATGTTACTTACGCAGCTGGGTTTTTTCGAAATTTCTCCCCTGACGTTTTGTGGTCGTTTGGGAAACTCAAAATTCAAGGAAGGCGAAGTTCAGGTACTTCCAAAGAAAAGACCTTTGATTTTGGGGATGGGTGATAAGCTTGGAAAGAAAAGGCGAGTTTACTTGATTCTTTAGAATTGTCTGAATTACATTTATCTTACTCTACCTTTCGTTCTATTTTTGAAGCCAAGTTAAAATTGGTCGAATTATGACGAAATAATTTATTTATTTATTTCAAATGGCAGGCATTATGATAGGTATCATTAGCCCTTTAGTTGACTTCGGGCTTCACAGAGGGGAGAAGGAGGAACATCCAACTGGTAAAAAGTCGAGAGGGGGAAGAATAATGATTCACAGACGTAAAAGAGACAGACGGACACAAAGGTAGAGAAAAAGGTGAGGTGAATACTGTGGAATTATTCGAATATGAAATTCAATAGGGTCATGGTAGTTTGAAGTCCGAAGTCAACTGCCGATTTATAGACTTTTTTGCCGTATGAGTATACGTTGCCCAGGGTGCACCACGTGGAGG